ATTAGTTACAGTGTTGACCCCACCCTTAGCCCAGTGCCTTGACCCACTTACTCCTTGTGAAGGAAAAGTTAAATAAATAAAAAAATTGTCATCTGTTCCTGCCCTTCCAATCATGAACATATGTGAAAATGATGATGTCACAGTAACTCCAAAAAGGAACCCAGGAGAATGGAGAAAGAAAGATAGAAATGTTTTATGTTCGAAATGTCTTCAGCACACTTCAATATACAATCAGATATTCCTTTTTTATTAATTGTGTGTATTTTCCAATTTATTTTTAATGCAACATATATGTATTTTTTACAGCATATTCTTCCCATTTAATTTTTCCCCATTCATTTATTGTTACGCATTTTCCTCCCTGCCCACTGCTCCCCCCAGTCCATTTTTCTCTTTGAAAAGAAAAAAAAAATTCATTGTTATAAATCACCCTTCCCCTAAGTCCACAGGCCACTTCATTATGCATTTCTTTTTCTGGAATCTTGTAAAAAAATAATACCCAATCATATTTTCCTTTTAAACAGTTCTCTCCCTCATTATTTCAATGCAGTATACATTATTTATCCCCTCTTTTTTTAGGCTCCCCCAACTCTGATGTCAGTCCCGTTTTACAACAGTGGCTCTATGCAGTATTTGTCCTTTTGTGACTAAGATATTTCACTCAACATAATCTCCTCCAGGGTCACCCATTTTGTATAATATTTCATGAGTTCCTTGTTTTTCAATACAGTATAGTATTCCATTGTGTGAATATACCAAATCTTCTCTAGCCATTTGTTTGTTGATGGGCACTTGGGTTGTTTCCAACTCCTTGCTATTGTGAACAAAGCAACAATAAACATGGGTGTGCATATATCTGCTTGGGTGGCAGTTCTGATTTTTTTAGGTTATATTCTCAGTAGTGGAATTGCTGGGTCACATGGTATTTCTATTTGCAACATTCTGAGAAAGTGCCATACTGCCATCCATAGTGGTTGCAGCAAGGCAATCAGATATTCTAATCTACAGTCTGTTGTTGCTTGGTAACATCGAGTCATACAATCTAGAGTGGAGGAAGAGGTAATACTCCAGGACAGAAGAATACATAGGGGGGCATTTAAAGTTTTCCAGGAAAAATATCCAAAACTGAAGAAAACACAAGAAAAAAACTAGCATCTACGAAGTGTACAATGAAATTGTTGTGGTTGCTAGGTGTCATTAAGCCCAGCATGACCGTCTTGTGCCATCCTCACCATCCCTGGACGCCTTAAGCCCTCTGTTACAATCACTGTCAATCTGCCCCCTTGAGAGACTTCCTCTCCCATCTTCCCAAACATGATATCCTAGCGTTGTAATGGTGCGCTGTGGCCGGGTGTTGTTCCGAAAGACTCATAGGTGACCCTCTAAATGGGATTTCAGAAGTTGTAAATCGCAGGAGAGAAGATTGCCCATATTTCTCCAGCGAAGCTGAGGATGGATTGGAACTGCTTGCATTTGAATTGTCAGCGCAACTCCTCACTCATTAGGCCACCAGAGCTCTCTTCAAATCATATTTTAGACAACTTTCATGCCCCAGAAAATAGACTATAGTGGCTTGTAAAAAGAAAGTACTTGGACATAGATGTATGGAAACTTCATTGATAACCTAAGACTCTTCACCAAAGGAGGAACTGGTGGAATGGGATATCCTCGATTAGGTGGGGAAGGTGGAAAAGGTGGTGATGTCTGGGTTGCAGCAGAAAAACATATGACTTTAAAACAGCTTAAAGACAGATATCCTCAGAAACGATTTGTGGCTGGAGGAGGAGCAAACAGTCGAGTAAATGCACTGAAAGGTTCCAGAGGGAAAGACTGTGAAATTCCTGCACCTGTGGGCATTTCAATAACTGATGAAAATGGTAAAATTATAGGAGAACTCAATTAAGAAAAAGATAGAATTTTGGTAGCTGAAGGAGGTCTTGGTGGCAAACTACTTACAAATTTCTTACCGTTGAAAGGGCAAAAACGAGTAATTCATCTTGATCTAAAACTTATAGCTGATATAGGCCTAGTGGGATTCCCAAATGCTGGAAAATCATCATTACTAAGTCGGATTTCTCATGCAAAACCTGTGATTGCAGATTATGCATTTACAACATTGAAGCCTGAACTTGGAAAGGTAATGTACAGTGATTTTAAACAGATATCAGTGGCTGATCTTCCAGGCTTAATAGAAGGAGCACATATGAACAAAGGAATGGGCCACAAATTCCTGAAGCATATAGAAAGAACTAAACAGCTACTTTTTGTTGTTGGTATTTTTGGATTTCAACTTTCTTCCAAAACTCAACACAGAACTGCCTTGGAAACCATAATACTGCTCACAAAAGAGCTGGAGTTGTATGATGAAGAACTTCAAACAAAACCTGCACTTTTGGCAGTTAATAAAATGGATTTGCCAGATGCCCAAGATAAATTCCATGAATTGAAGAACCAACTCCAGAATCCTACAGATTTTCTCCACTTGTTTGAAAAAAACATGATTCCAGAGAAGACAGTAAAGTTCCAACATATCATTCCAATCTCTGCAGTTACTGGGGAAGGAATTGAAGAATTGAAAAACTGCATAAGAACATCACTGGATGAGCAAGCAGACAAGGAAGACAGTGCATACCATAAGAAACAGCTGCTTCATTTAAATATACCCACTACTGTCTCATACAGTGAGCCAGTGCCATGGCCTATTGTGACTAGTTCCTGAGTGGTTATAATTGTAATCCATTCGAGATGATGTGAGGGGTGGGTGTGGGCGTGTTCACGCATACACGCTTGCATTTCTTGTTCCTTTATTGTACCAATGTTTACTGAGTGTCTCACAGGCATTGTTCAGGGTGCTGTATGTTGTATGTACACATTGAAGCATGCAGACAATCAAAAAAAAAAAAAGAAACAAAAACATGATGTCCTTTCCCAAGGACTGGCCCCTCCTAATAAACACGTCCAATATCTGTGCGAGAGAATGCTAGTTAAGTAGATGATGAAAGTAGATGATGAAAAAGGAACAGTAGTAACAAATGTATTTTGTGGTTGGGTTTTTTTCAATATATTAGTTTTGTCTGCTGTATGGCTGTAGGGTTGCCACTTCCTCTCTCAGTGCTTCAGTTAAACTCACTGTTAAACGTGAGACAATGACCGTGCCTAACTTAAGCAGTTGTTTGACACTTGACCTAATGATCAAAGCTGCCCCTTCTGAAACGGTTCAGTGTTTTTAGTTTTTCCATGTATTCCTTCCATCTTCTTTTGATGCTTCCGGCATCAATCAAGATTTTGTCCACAGAAACTTGCAACTGGAGGCTAGCATTTGTTTCTATTATTGAAAAACAGTTTCATTGTGCATTACGTGATTGTATGCTTCCTTCAACTATTTGAGATTTGAAATCTTTCCGATTTGGTTTAAAAGAAAAATTAGGAAATAGGAAATGGGAAAGAGGATGTCCTTAATTCCCTATAACTGTACTTGCTCATGATCTCTGTTTGTCACAGTCATGGCCTACCTATCATTTGGGCCAAATTAGTCCCAGAAGCTGTTAACACAGAGCAAATACACAGAGATACTAGATACTAGAGAGGGCCCCATGCCCCGCCTTCAAAGCAAAGTTTGAACTACGTGTTATTTCAGCAAAATAGCTAAAACCGGCTCCTGAGAGTTGGGGAAGCTATCACCCAACAAATAAATAATAAAAATTGGGGGAGGATGAAACCAGACTTTCGGTACCCAGATAGTTAACCCACAAAGTGCTGTTGTTGGTGCCATCAAGTCAACTATGAGAGCATAAGGGCCGCGGATGGGATTCTCCTCTCTTTCACTGACCCTACTTGTGCCAACGCCGATGTCTTTTTTCCAAGGTCTGGCCCTTCCTGACAACATGCCCCAAAATACCATAGACTGCCAAAAGGACAAATAAATTTGTCTTGAAGGAAATGTACCAAAGGTGTTGTTTAGAAGCAAGGAGGGCGAAACTTAGTCTTTGTACTAATGTAGTTAGAATCATCGTATTTTGCTCTTGTTGTTTTTGTGACTTTCATAATCTGACTTAATCCTACTGAAAGAAAAACACCACACATACATTTTCAATATATTAAAGCACACTGTTCAGATTTAAGTGGTAATTGTAAACCATTTCTACTAGAAACAGAAGGGATAATGTTTTGCAAAGAAGGATGATAAAATGAAAAGCTCATTACCCGAGCAGGACTGATGTCAGTGGTGTGAAGAGCTACTTCGCTTTGTTGAGAACTGATGATGTTTTTAATCCTCAAATTCAAGTTCTGAGCAACTTCCTCCACCACTTTACAGAAAAGATCCCTGCTGTCCTGGCCTTTAATCAGCTGCGTCTTTATCACTGAGAGGATCCGACTCCCTGCAAGGCTGCAAATAGAAACAGGATCATCTCATTCAACAGTATTAGAAAAGCCAACATGCTTCTAAGCTTGAGAAGATAATTCTTAATGTTAATCATCACTTTACAAAGGACATAGCTTTGATCTTATCAATCAAACAGCAGTACTTTTAAGATAAACGGAACCATTACAAACAAAACCAAGAAAGTTTTCCTAGAAGTAAGTCACTTCAACAGGATGAGTTACTTCTTCCCTGATTTGAAAGCTGGGAAGGAAATAATTTAGTTAAATTTGAAATAGGATAAATACTGAGATACAGTTATATAAAAGTGATATACTAAAAGCATATTACCTTAAGATAATTAAGATAATACAACAAAGCACTCAATTCTCTTTGAATATATAAAATAAGTATATTATTTTAATTTAACATTAAAGTATTTCTAATATACACTAGGCCGACTAGCAGCATCATGATAGACAGTGAAGAGACTGTGATTGTTAATTGAGACTGAGATTTAGTTGCTTCACTCCACAATCAACACACTTGGTACCAGCAGCTAAGAAATCAAACGTCTGAAAGAAAAAAAAGTCTGTTATCTGGGACCTCTGCAGAGTACTGAAGAGCAATGATGTCAGAATGGAGAATAAGGTGTGCCTGATCCAGGCCATAGTCATTGCAATTACTTGCTGTGCATCAGAAAGCTACACAATGACTAGGGATGATAAAAGGAAAATTGAAGCCTTTGAGCTATGGTGGTGGGGAATAGTATAGAATATACCACAGACTTCTAGGAGAGCAAACAGGTTTGTCCAAGAGAGGTTCCTTGGAGGCAAGGATTCTGAAGCTTCATGTGACATACTTTGGACATGTGGCAAGTAGGGAACACTCCTTGGAGAGAGACATAATGTTTGGGAGGGTGGAAGGAAAGTGCACGGAGGAATACCCTCGATGAGGTGGACTGACTCAGTGACTGGGGTATGGGGGTAGGTTTGTCAGAGATGATACAGTTGGCTCAGAATACAGCAGGGATCAGAGCTGTTGTACATAGGGTTATTATAAGTTGCAAGCAACTCAATGGCACATAACAACAACATATAGATATCATCACTCTACAATCACAGATGGGAATTTCTGGGTCCACATGCCCTGCTACTAAAAAAAACTGTAAGTTCACTCAGAAATACCTTAGAAGAAAGGCCTGGTGCTCCAACACCCACAAAATCAGTGTCTGGAAACCCCTGAAGTAATAAAGTTGCTTTGACTTAAGTAGAATTTGCTAGTCAAAGTTGAAGTAGAATTACTTCTACTCTGAAGCAATGGAGTCTCTACAGATTGAAGACAACTCTGCAGCAACTGGTAATTCACAGATGAGAAAACTGAGTGAGTCTCAAAGAGCCCAAATGGCCTGTATAAGAATACACAATATTCTAGACTAGCAGTGAAGAGGTGAGGAAGGAGGATGACTTGATCTTCCATTGTGATATGCAAAAGGTCACTGCACAAAAAAAAGGAAGATTAAATGAGTTAATGTTGACCTAAAGCAGAATAGAGATTAGACCAAATATGGCCAGGAAAAAAGAATTTTAAAAATCCTGGATTCACTTTTCCATTATACAAAGCCTGACAATAGAAACAAGTCCCTGCTCTAGAGGACTAACTTAGAGCCCATGTGAGAAAAATCTAGAGACATTTTCATCCACTATAAGACGCAAAAGCATTCTACTATAGAGATCATAACAAACTTCAGCTAACACTAAGAAAAATGGGAACCCCAGAACAACTTAATTAACCTATACCGAGATCAAGAAGAATTGACCTATACCTATATCAAGAAGTTGTCTGAATAAGAGAGGTGATAGTGGGCATCCTTGCCTAGTTCCT